CAAATGGAAAAAATTATTAAAATAAAAAAAAACATTTGCACCTTAAAGACTACTTTCCTATTTTTCTTTTAATAATTACTCATAAAAAAGACCATTCAAGCAGCACATTTTTCCTGATGTTTTTGAGAATATACTGTAGGGGTGAAAGCTGCAGCTGCTACTAGTGTGAAGTGAATGGACAGCAACAAAGCGTTAAAGCAACAATGGGGAAATGCTGTCCCCTCAATGCTAATGTAAACCCTGGTTGGATAAGGATTCAAAACTGGATATGAAGATGAAATCTGACGCACAGTTTCAGAGTTACAACAGATAAAATAATTGCTGTCTGTGGTTCTACAGTAGGCTATGGTGTAATTGAGCAATATATGAAAAAAAAAAAAGAACTATGAACTAGTTCATTTTTTGGTTTTGAATTATGAACTATGAACTGAACTAGTTCATTTTAAAATGTGTGAACTGAACTTTGAACTAGTTCACGTAGAAAGAGAACTTTCCCAACACTTTTCAGACCTAAATCAATCTATGGATCTTACGCAATTCTGAACACACGTCTGTGTAAATTCTCAGTCATGGGTCATGGCAACCACAAAATAGGTTCTGATTTGAGCATGTTTTTTGATGGCTGAACTCATGCACACCAAACCCTTCATATTTGTGTTTCTAAAAACAAAAAAACATGTATTTTATTCCTTCTGCATCACATTGCTTTGTTATTCCAAGACAAAGTGCCAAAGAATTACAATTAGGTCTGTGATTAATTAATAAAATGAAACACAAATGGGGAATACATACATGCAAAGGCCATTGCTATACATCTTCATTCACATACAGGTGCTGGTCATAAAATTAGAATATCATGAAAAAGTAGATTGATTTCAGTAATTCCATTTAAAAAGTGAAACTTGTATATTATATTCATACATTACATACAAACTCATATATTTCAGATGTTTATTTTGTTTAATTTTGATGATTACAAATGACAACAAATGAAAATCTCAAATTCATCATATCAGAAAATTAGAATATTGTGAAAAGGTTCAAAATTGATGGCCCCTGGTGCCACACTCTAATCAGCTAATTAACTCAAACCACCTGCAAAAGCCTTTAAATGGTCTTTCAGTCTAGTTCTATAGGCTACACAATCATGGGGAAGACTGCTGACTTGACTGTTGTCCAAAAGACGACCATCGACACCTTGCACAAGGAGGGCAAGACACAAAAGGTCATCGCTAAAGAGGCTGGCTGTTCACAGAGCTCAGTGTCCAAGCACATTAATAGAGAGGCGAAGGGAAGGAAAAGATGTGGTCGAAAAAAGTGTACAAGCAAGAGAGATAACCGCACCCTGGAGAGGATTGTGAAACAAAACCCATTCAAAAATGTGGGGGAGATTCACAAAGAGTGGACTGCAGCTGGAGTGAGTGCTTCAAGAACCACCACACACAGACGTATGAAAGACATGGGTTTCTGCTGTCGCATTCCTTGTGTCAAGCCACTCTTGAACCACAGACAGCGTCAAAAGCGTCTTGCCTGGGCTAAAGAGAAACAGGACTGGACTGCTGGTGAGTGGTCCAAAGTCATGTTCTCTGATGAAAGTAAATTTTGCATTTCCTTTGGAAATCAAGGTCCCAGAGTCTGGAGGAAAAGAAGAGAGGCACTTCATCCACGTTGCTTGAAGTCCAGTGTAAAGTTTCCACAGTCAGTGATGGTTTGGGGTGCCATGTCATCTGCTGGTGTTGGTCCATTGTGTTTTCTGAGGTCTAGGGTCAACGCAGCCACATACCAGGAAGTTTTAGAGCACTTCATGCTTCCTGCAGCTGACCAACTTTTTGGAGATGCAGATTTCATTTTCCAACAGGACTTGGCACCTGCACACAGTGCCAAAGCTACCAGTACCTGGTTGAAGGACCATGGTATCCCTGTTCTTAATTGGCCAGCAAACTCTCCTGACCTTAACCCCATAGAAAATCTATGGGGTATTGTGAAGAAGAAGATGCAATACACCAGACCCAACAATTCAGAAGAGCTAAAAGCCACTATTAGAGCAACCTGGGCTATCATAACACCTGAGCAGTGCCACAGACTGATCGACTCCATGCCACGCCGCATTGCTGCAGTAATACAGGCCAAAGGAGGCCCAACTAAATACTGAGTGCTGTACATGCTCATACTTTTCATGTTCATACTTTTCAGTTGGCCAACATTTCTATAAATCCTTTGTTTTTATTGGTCTTCAGTAATATTCTAATTTTCTGATATGATGAATTTGAGATTTTCATTTGTTGTCATTTGTAATCATCAAAATTAAACAAAATAAACATCTGAAATATATGAGTTTGTATGTAATGTATGAATATAATATACAAGTTTCACTTTTTAAATGGAATTACTGAAATCAATCTACTTTTTCATGATATTCTAATTTTATGACCAGCACCTGTATATTTGATATGTCCTTATTTTATAAGCCCAGTCCAGAATTGCTTTTATGGGTTGTAAAAGATGAGAGAAGTAATAGAAAGTAGAAATTCATCATTATTATGTTGCCTTGATTGTCTTGCTCTGCTCTTGTCAATGTCTTGTTATTGCTGCTATCTAAGAAATTAAGTTGCCAGACTGTTTAATTACCCCCCAACCCCCTCTCAACCCCACACCATATTCTCTATTACTTAGATTGTTTATGTGAAACAGTAATTTTGGGACCATCACTCTAATTAAAACAAACAATCTAATTAAAATGAACTTGGCTAATCTGAGATCTTTGTTCTGAGGTTATTTTGCCCTGGATGAGCTGCAGCTTTGCACAGCTTGAAATCAACTTTGGAGTATCTCGTTTGTTTTGTCTCATCAGATAGTCTACATCAGTGTCTGTCAGAATGCATATTGCAGTGCATGTAGGCAGGCGGGCATAAATGCTGTGATTATCTTGCATCACTATTTCCATTTGTGAAACAACATAAGTTATAATTGTCTAGTGTGAAAGCACAACTGGCTTTTTAATAGTTATTGGACTTTTTTTTAGTGAGAACATTCCATGTACTGTAGCTACAAATCTTACTTTTTCCCCCTTGGTATATAGTATCGTTATATAGAAAATACTTCTTATTAGCTATGGGAAGGTGCTAATTACTTTAGCTGTCTTTGTTAGAAACAAAGGTATTAGACTGAATTCCAGAGCTAAGTGTCTAATCTACACACTAGATGTCTTAATATTCCCAATAGGAGAACAATGAGTTCCTGATTAAGGCTTATTGCTTCTTCTTTGTAATATGACTCATCAACAAATGCCCGGCAGTAAAAAGCAATTGATTTGGTTGGCAGGAGGTCTGAGCTCAAGCTGAAATTGGACATTAAAATGACACAGTCCATTGCTCCCTGTTGCAATATACCGCCTCATGTCAAGGGAGACTGTGAGACCGTACAATTAACGCTTAAAGGCAGGGTCGAGCATCATTCAACCTTCTGACTGCTCCATTCTCCCTATAGGAGAGAAAATGCTGTTTAATTAAACACTTTAATTCAGTTTCAATTCAATTCAGTTCATTTATAATTTGGAAACTCACAACACACGTCCTCTCAAGGCACTTTACACAGACAATTCAACCAGATTACACGGTCAGATTGGTTAAAAGTTTTCTAAGGAAAACCAGCTGATTGCATCGACTCATTGACTCGAAAGAAATCCCTCACATCGGGCATGCTTTTAGTGACAGTAAAGAGGAAAACTCCATTTTAACAGGAAGAAACCTCCAGCAGAACCAGGTTCAGTGTGAGCAGCCATCTATTGAGGCTAGTGGTTCAAGGAGACAGAAGCAGACATACAGAAAGAAGCAGAAGCACAAAAGGTGTTTCCTTCCTGGTGGCCCCTTCTTGGAAACACACAGCCAGGCAGATGAGCTCCAAGCCAGCTCCCATGTCAGAGGATGAAAAAGAGCACATACAGTTAGTCACAGTAAGAGAAATGGGACTACACTGAAAACAAGCCAAGCTGCAGCTATAAACAAAGCGTCATTATCTTGGCACTGATAGCTGGCCTAATTGTTCACTCCATTCACCTGTCTTACTCTGCCTGTTTTTTCATTACTGCTCATCTAATCCAGTTGCTGCAGCTTCTATTTATACAGCTAGATCTCAGCCACTGATTTTCCTGATCTGTCTCTCACCCATTGAGTGCATCTGTTCCTGTTCAGTCTCAGTGAAGAGGGCGTTTTCTTTTTTGCGTTCCATAGTGTTCATGATATCCTGACCTCTTCAGCCTCTCAAACACTGAGACTGCCTGTTCTCATCTGAAAGTTCTGCCTGAACTGTCTGTGGACTCCTAGAACCCTGAACAAGCCTGTTCCTGTTCTTATCGGTATCCCTGACCAGGCTCTGGACTCCTTGATCTCTGAGCCCTCCAGTTTTGATCTGTTTCCCTGACCTGGGTCAGACTTCTGCCTGTTCCCTGGGGCTGCAGCATCTGGGACCCTCTGGGCAGCACTCGACACATCTCATTGGCAGCCAACCGGCTGGATCCTACCTCGTTCTATGCAGATGGACTGAACTGTTAAACCAGGTAAGTGACTCATTTGGATAATCATCCCCATGATCACTAATCTGTGTTTTTCTCCAACCAAAGTTTCCAGTGATTGGCGGTGCCCCCTCAGGGAAGAAGAGCCATAATCAAGGAGGTAACAGAGTGACCAGCCTCTCTGATTCTGAGCATTCTTCTGTGGAGAGAGGATAACGTTCTGGAGTAACAACAGCTTAGTGACAACCTACAGTAACAGTTTATAAAACTTGGAAAGTGGAATGGGATGTTTCTTAACTATTTTGGAAAATTTATGGTAGATTTGTCAAAAAAAAGCCACTCCTTCAAAAAAGGCAAAAGGCGTAAAAGGCATAAAACTTCTCCACCCTGCTGAGATAAGTGGGGAGTGGTTAGGGCATAGGGCTTGGAATCCTGAGGTTGTAAGTTCAAAGTCCACTCCCAAGGACTGCCTCTCTGAGCAAGACCCTTAACCCCTGGTTGCTCCCCTACAGTGGAACATGGGATGTTTATGTTACAGGAACTGGCAAGACAAAAACAATAGAGGAAATACAGAGATCTTGGCTGAAAACCTCCTACAGAGCACTCCTGACATTAAATTGGAGTATTGATTTGAAAAACATCGCCAGGATTTTAAAAGAGTCGCTTTAGAACATGAGAATATCCTGGAATGGCCAAGCCTCAGTTTGGCTTTAATTTGATTGGATATGTCTGGAGAGATCTGAACACGACTGTGCACAGATGTCTACCATCCAGCCTGATGGAGCCTGGGATTTACTGCAAAGAAGATTGGGCAGAAAAGCGCTAAAGAAAGGTTTGCTAAACTTAGAGCTCTTTCATAAAGACTTCATGCTGCCAAAGGTGTAGCAACAAGTATTAAGCAATGAATACTTATGTACATGTTATTTCTCAGTGTTCTATCTTTGATAAATTTGGAGAGATCTCAACATAACGTTTTTCATACTAAAATGACTGTATTTTGTGAAGAGTTTTGAGGGAACAAAATGATTTAGTATGATTAGGAATAAGTCTGTAACATAAATGAATGTGGAAAAAGTGCAGTTTTACACTGTATATCACATTTGCTTTAGGTGGTAAACATACATAAATTTGTGTTGAAATAGTGACATTAAAGTGAGTCTTCTCCAAGACATTGCTTTTCTTCAGCTGGTCTCTTGAAGTTTGCCTGTCTTTAGCATTCTGTCTACTATGCAGTTCAGCTGCCCTCAACACTTCTGCTCTAACAAGAGTTTGGCTGTCAGCTGTTTTCACTTTAGTAAGACCACTCATGCGAAGAGGTGCTTTTTTGTAGCAATCAATACTTATATACTGAACAAGTTTTAAGATAGCAGAGCTAGATGCCTTGTACTGCATGTACTGTGCCCATCACATCACATTTATTGACTCATTCATGAAGATGCTGGAAAGTTTCAGCTCTTTCAAAAAAATGTAATTGTGATTTGAAATATGAGTAGTCATTTTCTTTTTAACCTAATTCTTTACTTATTAAAAAAAGAATCAGGACGATGAAGAAGGGTCTGGATTTAATTTTATTTATTTATTTGAAAGAGACAAATACATTAATTAATCTCAATAACTGGCAACTTTTTCTGTGTTTAATGGAAGGGGATGTAAACTGTCAAGCACAATCTACTCTATATCTAAATCTATATTTAGATATTAATTACAAGATTCTTATTAGATAAGCTGTCTGATTTTTTTCCGTAGGTGAAGGTGACCAAATACAAATATTTTCCTTTTCAGACACCCCCAAAAAAACTAATTAACATAATAAAATAAACACGTGAAACCTGCTCAAAATACTTGCTTATATTTTCTTTTTAATTCCAGACAACACTTCTCAAAATCTTAAATTGTAATTCCATATTTGGTGAAAAATTGTAGATTATTAAAACCTCTGCAATGGTCTATTTTTAATAAAATAGACAATTTCTTATAAAAAACGATGCTATTCAAATTAACTATATCTTAATATGACAAATATAAATTTTTACAAATATGAATGAATAAAAATGAAAGGCTGAATTTCTCCAAAATACTTATTGTGGTACTGTACGTAACTAAATATTGGTTTATTCTATTCTGTACACGTGAACCAGAGGTGTAGAAATATAGCTGAATATTATAGCTAGTCAAGAGAAAAAATACCAATACATAGAAAGGTCAAATAAATTTTAGAGAATTCAAATTTTGTTCAGTTTAATGAGCTCTGATGCACCATTTGCAAGTCCAAAATTATGCAATATAAACATTTCTCTTTCAGCCTCACCTCCAGCTAATAGTTAAAATATCATCACTTTAGCCAATAAACAAGCAGCAGATAGTGGACTGCTGGAAACCTGTTGGAAGAATAGATAAATAGAATTTTGTAAGTCTTCGTAACCAACCACCTATCCCAGCATAGCCTCTCAAAATGAGGTCATAAAACCTATCAATGCTTATTGTATCCAGCAAATACCAGTATTTTTTGTTTATCTCACACTGCACAGAAACCTAATTTATTTTTCTTTTCTACCAACAAATTATGTTTATAAGATGTTTAGTGAGAATCTATTGTTGAGCTGTTTTCAATTCAATGCAGGAATGAGGAAAATTGACCTCTAGTCTTTACAGGCACAATAATAAGTGCAGAGTGGCTCTTATTAGGATACAAACAAACATAGGCACTCTCACAATATACAGACAATCCCATGAGGTATTATACTGCAGGATGGTTACATTAGTGTTTTCTTCTTTGAGACATTTTAAACCCATTCCCTGAAACACAGCTTTTAAATATATTTGCAGGCCAATGAAAACTCACAACTAAAAAGAAAAATGTTGACATGCAAAGACATAAACTAGCCTCACAAAGTAATAACTGCTACCCTAAGCTCAGTCACATAGGTGTCACATCCAGTGTCTTGCAAAAGTATTCACAGCCCTATGTTGTGATTAAGAGTTGGTGTGATTGACTGGCACAAAACAGTGCAAAAAGGTGAAATTAAACGCAGACTTTTAAAAGAGAAAATTTTAAATCTATATATTGTGATTTGCATTTAAACTCACCAAAGCTAGGTGCATCCGAAACTCATATTTCATGACAAATACAGTTGAAGTTCTTTCAGAGTAGTTCTTCACTAGCTTTACACAAGTGATTACGATGTTTAGTATTGTTGTTCTGCTGGAAGAAAACATTCTTCCACAGCTTCACGTCTTCTGGCTCCCTATTCATTTAGGACTTCCTTTTGCTCTTCTTCTACTCCAGCTCTGCCAAATCAGATGTGTTCTTGGCAACTTGGATAAAAAAATTTGTTCCTTCACAATATTTCATCACAAATAAAGGTTTCAGGGCATTGGCCCTCTGTGGCTGGAGTTTGATAATGCTGACACCACTATGCTTCATGGTGGGGTTTGTGTTTTCGGGGTTGTACAATTTCTTAATTTCTGTCACATGTCACACTTGTCGTCAAGTGTCTTGTGTCAAACCCCAAACAAGACTAAATTATTTCTTACCCAACCAGAGGACATAATTTTTTCTGCTTTGTTCCTTTGTACCTGGCATGTGGAATTTGAAAAAAGGTAATTTTATGACTTTCCTTCAAAAAGTTTTTCTCTCCATGCTTCCATAAAGGGTGAGGACTGTACTGTGTCAACAGATTTTGCCTTATAAGCTATAGATCTTTGTCCATAGTATCTAGAGCAGGAGTGCTCAAGTCCAATTTTGAATTTTGAATTGCCAAAATTGTTTTTGCTTAAACATTACAAGTATATATATAAATAAACAAGCTGTATAAATATTCTTTGCAAGGATCTGTAAAGGAATTAAAAAATAATGAGAGCACCTACATTGTAATGTAGTTGCTACCCTAAAATCAGTCATATGTGGACTGAAACAGTCCTCAATCCTAAGAAAAGCTATTTTGTCTCACTCTCATACAATGCTGAACTTTTAGAAAGAAAGAAAGAAAGAAAGAAAGAAAGAAAGAAAGAAAGAAAGAAAGAAAGAAAGAAAGAAAGAAAGAAAGAAAGAAAGAAAGAAAGAAAGAAAGAAAGAAAGAAAGAAAGAAAGAAAGAAAGAAAGAAAGAAAGAAAGAAAAGGCAGCATGAAAATTCAATCTGCACAGTGAAAATGATGGCAAACCTCTCGACGGCCTGTCATGGAACAGATGGTATTACAATATGGGAACAGCACTATTAACAGATCCATTCATTTTGTGCCTGTGTTGGGAGTGTAGCACATCACTGAGGAGGCTTTAAGTGGGCCAGTTTTTTCAGATGGTCAACCCAGCTATTGTGCTGACAGTTAGCCACTTTTTATGTTGTTTTTCCCTTTGACTATCACTGACAACATGATGCTGAACACTTGCTCTGTAACCACTGTGACATTGTGGAGACCACACGTTGTGCATTCTGCCTTTGAAAATGCATCTGAGTGTCTTTCAGAATGCTCCACTGCCGGTAATAGTACACCTTTGCATTCAGATGTTGTCCAGACTAAAAATCACTTTGTAGTTCCTTACTCAAGGACTTTTGAAATATATCCTGTTTGAAGGGAAAGGCAAGGCTAAGTGCCCCATGAATTTTTCAGCCGCTCATTGTCTAACTGCACCTAATTATTTTGATTAAGAATTTAAGAGTTGTGTCTGTATTGGAACTGAAGACAAAGTAGGAGTTGTCACTTTTGTTTAAGATATGGCAAAGAGATGATCAGTTGGTAAAACCTCTTAATTCAGTTGCACAATTGCAAAAAAAAAAAAATATTTAAACCAACATTATCTTTATTTACTCTGACAATAGGTATGGATAAGTTTTTCTTAATAGTTATGATATTCAAAATTGATTACACATCTATCGATCATATAGTAGTGGTGGTTTTTTTTGTTATCAGTCTTATCAGTGTCAAAAAGAACTCGCCCTCTCTATCCCATTGTACAATATATGTATTGCAGAAGAATAATTAGTCCTAAATTATTTATGAAAGAATGTGATAATAATCCAACTCAATGACATGGCTTCTCAAGAAGAAGGTTGTTTCATCTACTCTATCATTGTTATACTTTTATAACATTGTTATACTCATTGTTTCCCTATTTTGCTAACCATGGTGTTAAATGATGAAAAATTATTTGTACTATTAAATAAAACCTGTATGACATTTTTGTCTTAAAGAAAATACACATTCTAAACAATTGAGAATATTAGTTCTAAATGAGAACGACATTAAATGGTCTGTTTTCAAATATTATAATAATATGGAGCACCGGTTTTCTTTCAGATTAGCATATCCTGTCAGATCAGCATACGATTAGTTTTATGTAACCTAAATGAATTTCAAGTTGATCAGTTTCCTCTTTCCTCCCGCAGTGCTCCTAATGGTGATGTTCCGAAGTTCGCCTGCAGCTCACTTTGTGAGATATTTATATTTGTATATAGCCTAAATAAACATCTTAAACTGCTCTTTGTTCTCCGTCTGTCTGAATGTGGGCCAAACACCTTAAAACCATGACAACTTTCTAATGATCTGATCCAACACATCCACATTGAGTGTGTAATTATAGTAGTGTTAGGAATCCAGTCTGTGTGGGTTGTGTTTTTGTGTTTTTTCCCCCTGCACCACCAGGTGGTGCCCTGTTCTCGTTTGTCCTCCCACACACCTGTGGCTGGTTGGCTCATTATTGAGGACTTCTTAAGCGGTGGACTGCCACTACTTTGACGCCAGAGTGTTTGCCAGTTTGGGGTACTCTAGCCAAGATGAGTTTAGCTGAGTCTAACTGAGTTTTTGTTTCTCTGAGCCTAACGTGATTTTTTGTCTTTGCCTTTCGGCAGGAAGTCATCCTGAATTCTGGATGTTTGGCCTTCCCCCCTGGAAGGATCGTTTGTGCTTCACACTAAGCAGGGGACTCATCACCACACGACCCGTTCAAGTTCTCCAGGAAATATAAATGGCAGTCCGCCCAATTGCTCCTTAGGAACCAACCAAACCAAAGACCTGTCTGCCCTCCAATGAGCCCCTCAATCTCTGGAAAAACCCACACTAACTGGATTCAGGGAAGAAACCTTTCTCCGCAATCGTGAGTCCCGTTTATATCTGTGTTTGCAAGACGTTGTTCAAAGTCCACACGGACCTTGAACTAACCTCTGTGAACATCCCTTCTCACTTCCAGTTCCGGTTCATCAGCTCTCTGAGTTTCGCCGAATTCAACCCTTTGAACTCCTCAATAAACCTGTTAAACTTTTTTCTCTGGTTTCTCTGAGTGGTGTTCTGTATTTGGGTCAGATCTCTTAGAACATCATGACAAGTAGACCACGGGCTCGGGTTTGGCTTTTGGGCCACTGAGTGTACCTGCTGAGGTGTGCTATCCAAACCTTGAACAAAAGTTTCACTATTGTCTGATTGTTTTTTTGTGGGTGGGGGATCATCCTCTGACTCGCTTTCAGAATCTGAACCGCTTCCTACCCAGTCATCATCCCCCTCTCCACTCGAATCACTAACATCAATATTTTGAAGCATTTCTAAAGCTTATTTCGGGTTTAGATTTCTCCTGAAAGGCATTTTTCTGTATTAGCCAAAAAGTTCTAGCTAGAATGGTGGTTGCTAGGCAGTGGTACGAACATCAATCAACCATGGGAATAATTTACAACGGAACTAAAAGAGCCGTCAAAATGACGGCTGTGGGAGATCGAGGTAAAATAAACCATATTTATTTTTTACGTTTTTATTTTATTTAAAATCTACATAAAAATGAAGGAAATGTAGAAACAGGAAAAGTCAGTTAACATGAGCAACATATGAATAATGTAAATAAAGCCTTTTTAATCAAAAATGAAAGATAGAGAACAATAATGTTGGCAAAGGATGAAATAGGAATGGTCTTTAAGGTGGCTTAAAAATGCCTTCTTTCCCCAGCTCTGCTGGTGTCTACCCAGGCAAGCTTAGCAGATGCTCAGCGGTACTAACATCGAATATTAAGCATTAACAGGTTTCCACAGAAAATTTATTTAACCACTTGACGCCAAAATTTATATATGAGTATATGCAATTAAACAAATGTTTTTTTACCCTTTAAGTAGTGGCAAAACAAATGTGTCATGTCTTGTTCATGTTTTTCTTGTTTAATTATTATAATTTTCTGATTCAAACAACAGTGATCAAGGTAAGAGTTACATAGTTGAAATTTGTGCTGACAGATTAATATTTTGAATTTAAGAATTTTAACATTCCTATTTCAAATATTAGGTATATATGTATTTTTAAGGGGTATTCTCTTTAGCAGTGTTATTTTCTATTTTAATGTTATAAACAAAAGGAAACCTTTTAAAACCAGGTCAGAGCTACAGTGAATATTTCTTAAATAGCACATCTGCAGGACACATACAGCTGTGCAGAATAAATGTGTTCATTTTATGGAAAAATATGTATATAGCATATAAAAAATGTTTTGTAATATATATTTCAAGTTAAATAATACAGACTTATATTCAGACTTGCCAGATCCAAGCATTTCCATGATAGTGCTGAATTGTGGCCTCTCCTCAGCATAACATTACTCAGATAAAAAAAAGGATATAGAGAGAGCTTGTATCTTAAAGAAACAAAGAGACTCAGAGGGCAGGAGGAGGTTGTTGCTTTCCCTCTGGATATCGAAGTTAAATGTTTGCTGAGTCTAACCTTTGATTAGCATTAGCAGACCCGCCATTTGGCTGGCAGACAGGAATGAGAGCTAGAGATCAGCACCACTTACCGGCTTTGTGAAATCAAACTGGTAGCTATCCCTTTTAAGATTCTTGAAATCAAATGTGTTGTTACTCAAACACCAAAAAGTAAACTCAAGCAAAGTATCAATGCAAAAAGGATCTAAAAAATTGCAAAGTAAAAAGAAATTCTAGCTTCTACTTGATAGTATACCTCATTCTTTGTATCAAATATATTATCTAGATTTTTCACCATCCATTCTGCCGCCTAACCCATCAAGGTTTTGATGGGCAGTCTATGGGTTAAAGGTGGAATACACCTTGGACAGGTTGCAAGTCGATCGAAGGGTTATTCTATATTTGTCATTTGAAAATTCAAATAAACAGTTGTCCTCTACGTTCAACCAATCCCTGACTGTATTGCTATTATGCTGTTATTATCTTGGCACTGATGCCTGGTCTGATTACTCATTTCATATAGCTACTAAGCTCCGCCCAGTTCTCATTACCCGCTCATATGATCCACCTGCATTGGTCTACGTGTAACCAGTTTTCAGACCAGTCATCAGTGCCAGATTATTTTCGAGCCTTTGGTGAGACTTAGTGTAGTGGTCCTGTATATTAATTGAGTAATCCTGACCCGTTCTGCCTCTTGCTTGACCTGTCTTCTGACTCCTGCCAGATCTCAGCCTGTTTGTGTACCGTACCTAGAACTGTGACCAGACTCCATCCTGAATTCCCTCTTGGCACTTCACTGGATCTCTGACCTCTTGGCTATGAAAACTGGGCACAACATTGGCTTTGGCTTCGCCCTCTGGATTATCCTGATTACATTCCTCTGCTCATTTCTGCTCTCCTGCTTGTCCTCTGACCACGATACATTAAAGTTTGGGACTCTCTGGGTGGGGCCCGCCACACTGCGTTGGCAGCCAAGCGGCTGGAACAACCCTCACCTTCTGGACTCGGACTGAACAATACTACCAGGTCAGTGACTCACATGTTCATTATCATCCACTTCCAGATAGATGTGGTCACTAACCTGTGTTCTCCTCCTGCAGAAGTTCTTGACTTTGGCACCAATGCTGCTCACTTTGGTTGAGTTTTCAATGAACATTTTGTCAGCCTTAAATACTGGATCCTGCTGTTCTGGACCTAACATATGTACGGGGGATTGTGGAACCAATAGTCTTGCTCAGAAACACAGTCTGTGGGATTTTAACCAAGCAATTCACACTCTGAATATGCAAACATGCTATTCTAATGACAAGGGCAGCCACTAATGCTCCATATTGAATCTTTTTACTCAATAATGGGAAGAAGACATCATCAGCGATATCTTTAAAATAATATGTATATCAGTCTTTGATCATTTGTATCTATTTTGGTTGAAATTTGTATATAATGCATCAGATAGTAAAAGTAACTAGAGGATTCATAATGAATTAGTTAGAAAATTTACATTTATGTGATTTAGGCACTTATCTGAAAACACATGACAGTACTTTCACATAAAATATCCTTAGAATTTTTGTTTTGTTTTATCAATATCAGTATGCTTGTACCAATTAATTGATCTTTGTAATTTTTACTAAAATACATGAATATTGATAAAAGGCAATTCACAATGCTTCACTTCTCTGCAATTTCATTTAATGCATACATACAAAAAAATATGTGTTTAAAAAAAAAGTCCTTTTTTAAGCACAACTCCAATTGGTTTCTATTAATTCAATTCAAAATCAGTTTGAGTTTGTTAAATTGCAATTGTTTCTGTATAACAGGCGTTTAAATTGCATTTATATACTGCAGTTAATGATACTGGCATCTAATGGTAGAAAGTAGCATTGTTTTTACATGATTCTTGTGAAATAAAAAAAAATCATATAGTATGAACTTAATTCAAAATTGGCCAATTTTAAAAGCAAATAATATCAGCCTTATATGTATAATATATATGAAGAATAAACTGAAGATAATTGAATTCTTACATTTCTGCTTACTTTTCTGTTTGGGTGATTAGGAATTAATCAATATTAGTTTTATATTGTTTATATATGTTTTAGTGAGGAATTAAATGACTCCACATAACTTGTTGATTTTAAAATAGTTTTAGTATTACTGCTGAATCACATCATCTTCAAATTGCCTTGCTGGATTTAAGGGTATGATGTTTGCATCTACGCTGTGCACTGTGCATTTATTGAAGATAGTATGCACATAGAATGTGCAAATTATTTGGAGCAAAATATATTTGTTTTGTGAATCCCCCATTTAACAGGTATTTTATTTACTTGCTCCTTTTGTTACATATTTATGTAGTTCCATGTATTCAATACTCAGTGGGATTTCACATTTACAGGTGCTGGTCATAAAGTTAGTTGAAACTAAATATTTCTCTGCTAACTGGTGAAGGTCTTATGTTTATAAAGGTTGAATTACATCAAATCAATGGTCCTTGTAGCTCAGAAAAAAAGAAGAAAGGAAATAAAGTAGTGTGATTTTTAATCACTGATGAAAATATAAAAGCCCATTCCCACCTGCTGTTACACTGGAGTAAAACAGAAAAAGAAAGCTGGGACTTTTTGTATATCATCTAAGGTAAAAAATAAATAAAAAAAAAGCGTATATTAAATCCTGTTAGGTTTTAGCCCTTTTTTTTAATCACAGCATTCAATAAAAGCTGCCCGTAGAAACCAATAATTTTTTTTGTTTTGTTTTACAATAATAAATAATTTCTGACAGGCTAGTATGAAAATCTACAATTCTACAAATACAAAATTTATTCTTCTTAATAATGTTAATGAATCCATTTGAAAATGAAATAGTCTTAAAGCAAAATGCTAATCGTACAAATAATTGGTGAGGTTTCAGCTCATTATTTTCCTTCTTCAGACTCTAAACCGTGCAGTTTAGGCGAAAAACAGGTCAACAGCTTAAAAGTTATTTACACTATACAGGTGCTGGTCATAAAATTAGAATATCATGAAAAAGTAGATTGATTTCAGTAATTCCATTTAAAAAGTGAAACTTGTATATTATATTCATACATTACATACAAACTCATATATTTCAGATGTTTATTTTGTTTAATTTTGATGATTACAAATGACAACAAATGAAAATCTCAAATTCATCATATCAGAAAATTAGAATATTGTGAAAAGGTTCAAAATTGATGGCCCCTGGTGCCACACTCTAATCAGCTAATTAACTCAAACCACCTGCAAAAGCCTTTAAATGGTCTTTCAGTCTAGTTCTATAGGCTACACAATCATGGGGAAGACTGCTGACTTGACTGTTGTCCAAAAGACGACCATCGACACCTTGCACAAGGAGGGCAAGACACAAAAGGTCATCGCTAAAGAGGCTGGCTGTTCACAGAGCTCAGTGTCCAAGCACATTAATAGAGAGGCGAAGGGAAGGAAAAGATGTGGTCGAAAAAAGTGTACAAGCAAGAGAGATAACCGCACCCTGGAGAGGATTGTGAAACAAAACCCATTCAAAAATGTGGGGGAGATTCACAAAGAGTGGACTGCAGCTGGAGTGAGTGCTTCAAGAACCACCACACACAGACGTATGAAAGACATGGGTTTCTGCTGTCGCATTCCTTGTGTCAAGCCACTCTTGAACCACAGACAGCGTCAAAAGCGTCTTGCCTGGGCTAAAGAGAAACAGGACTGGACTGCTGGTGAGTGGTCCAAAGTCATGTTCTCTGATGAAAGTAAATTTTGCATTTCCTTTGGAAATCAAGGTCCCAGAGTCTGGAGGAAAAGAAGAGAGGCACTTCATCCACGTTGCTTGAAGTCCAGTGTAAAGTTTCCACAGTCAGTGATGGTTTGGGGTGCCATGTCATCTGCTGGTGTTGGTCCATTGTGTTTTCTGAGGTCTAGGGTCAACGCAGCCACATACCAGGAAGTTTTAGAGCACTTCATGCTTCCTGCAGCTGACCAACTTTTTGGAGATGCAGATTTCATTTTCCAACAGGACTTGGCACCTGCACACAGTGCCAAAGCTACCAGTACCTGGTTGAAGGACCATGGTATCCCTGTTCTTAATTGGCCAGCAAACTCTCCTGACCTTAACCCCATAGAAAATCTATGGGGTATTGTGAAGAAGAAGATGCAATACACCAGACCCAACAATTCAGAAGAGCTAAAAGCCACTATTAGAGCAACCTGGGCTATCATAACACCTGAGCAGTGCCACAGACTGATCGACTCCATGCCACGCCGCATTGCTGCAGTAATACAGGCCAAAGGAGGCCCAACTAAATACTGAGTGCTGTACATGCTCATACTTTTCATGTTCATACTTTTCAGTTGGCCAACATTTCTATAAATCCTTTGTTTTTATTGGTCTTCAGTAATATTCTAATTTTCTGATATGATGAATTTGAGATTTTCATTTGTTGTCATTTGTAATCATCAAAATTAAACAAAATAAACATCTGAAATATATGAGTTTGTATGTAATGTATGAATATAATATACAAGTTTCACTTTTTAAATGGAATTACTGAAATCAATCTACTTTTTCATGATATTCTAATTTTATGACCAGCACCTGTATTTGTCTTATGTTACAGTATCAGTAAAAGGATACCTGCAATCATAATGGGTCCTCTGTCAAATTCATAAATGTTTGGAGATGATAGTGATGCCTGGAGATCTGCCACTATCATTTAAGTTAAAGAATGACAATAACAGGGACTAGTTGCCTCGTTCTGGTCTCACACCTCTGAGATTAAAACACATTCAATCCCCATATAGCTACACTCTCTGGGGACAAATTCTTGTGGAAGAAGCTCATTCTCCAGTAGCTGAGCGGGATGAACCTTACTTGTTGATAAGTTATCTCACACTGTCTCTCCTCTCAATCAGAGCACATCCACCCAGCTGCAAGGCTCCTGCTCGAAGCATTCTCTGTCTCAGTAAGGGCAGGCTGCATCAATACTGTTTTCCCCTCACGCTGCTCTGAAAGAAGGCTCATTCTTCCAGAAATCAACTGAGAATTCCTAAGAAATTGGCCACCGAAGCTCTGTCTTTTAAAAGGCCGCATACCTTTCTATCCACTTAGGAATGGATTTTGTCCTTAACATCTTTGAAATTTGACAACTTTGTAATGGAAAAGTTTCCATGGGGAATGCGAAAAAAAAATCTTTGGAATGTTGATTCAGCTGATGCGGAGCATGTTCAAAAATGAACTGGAGATAAGAAAAAGCTCCTTGAGGCACCTTCTTTTGCTGCATGCTGTATATACAAAAACAACCCACGTGCACGGAAAAGATACTTATGCCTTGTGACCTTTTTCATTCTGTTGAACAACACAGAAAGGTAATTGCCTGGGTATGCCTGCAAATGCACTTTGCAACTGTGCACAAGTTTTTAACAGTGTGACGTTTACTTGTATTCCCAGCTGGCTATATTCTGCTCACTGAAGTTAGTTTTATATAAAATTTTAAAAGTTCAAATAAAACCTTTTTTTATTCCAGCTATCAAGTTACAAACTACAAATGTAAGGCTATTTGAACTCCCTTACTACTTTTAACAAACCTAATGATAATTAATTTATGAATACTTTATTTTTTATAGTTTTCCCTCTTAGCTCAGCATTAATAAGGGCATACATTTCAGGAAATCGTTGCAAATGTCATGCTTAAATGATCAAAATGTAACTTCCACTATCATCTCATTAATACATTCTGCAGTGAAACTTTTGTGCAGCTTATTGTTGTTGCTGCACAGCTACTAGGTCTTACAGTCTCTGTTTCAAATATATTTTAAAAAGATTGTTAATAGATAGTTTTCTAAACTGCAAAACTTTAATAAAATAAAATAAAATTACATACAAAGGACACTATTGGAGCTGAACAACATAGCAGGCTTTTGTTAGTAAAATCAAAGTTAACCCTTTTTCCACAATTTATGTCAGGTTGGGTAAAAGTTGGATGACCCAAAGGCAGAGATGAGTTCTGCTGATTCCATTAAGGACTAACAGGCAACTGAGGCAAAAATCCAGAAAAATGTAAAAATACTGAAGACCAAACAAAATCGAATGAACCTCAGGGAAAATGCACGTGGGGAGCAAAAGACGAGGAAGCAACAAAACAACAACAAAACCCAAGCATTTAATGAAGGCTCTGCTGCTCTTTAAAGCCCTGCACTCTGAGACTGATGATCTCCACCTGCGTAGACTACGCAGGGTTCTCCACAAAGATCCTCTCTGGAGGGTGTGCATAACTCGCACTCTCTCACACACACACACGGGAACCCTGACAATTTAAACTCAATCATACTCTCATTTGTTGTCCTAACACACACCCATTTTCGTGTCTTCTGACAGAAAAACATATGAAAGTCCAAAAGTCATTTGATTACATGACATAAGTCAAAACAGCATTTAACTGCTGAGTATGAAAAAGTCATATGGCTTACTTATTTAGGTTTTACTATACCTGCTATCTTCTTGTATTAGCTTGATTTAATTTAATAAATCTGGATTTGACAGAACTTTGCGTTGAAATAAGTGGTAATTCGTGGAAATTAAGTCGTAGGGAACGGCTGTTCAGAATTCTCCCAAGTAGTGCATGGCTTTACACAAGTGAATAGAGTGAATTTGATTGGTTGTTTTTTTTAAGAGGGCGGGATTGTTGTGGCGGAAGGCTCGCAAGAAAGTTTGATTGTTTCTCGGAAGTATCGTTGCTAACTGGTTAGCAACTGTTAAAGAAAAATGATTATTTTTAGTTTTTAATACAGTTAATCTTATGGCATGCGTAAAAGGTATGTTGAACACTCTCATTTTGAACATATTTCTTAATTTTGAACAAGTTTGTGTTAATGATTTAA